ATCTCTTTACCGGGACTGACGCTTAACATTCAGAAGACTAAAATCCTCCATCAACAAGCTCTTAATGCAGTCCCCAGCTCTGATGATTCAGATTTATGGTGAGACTCTGAAGAACATTTAGTACTTCCCGTACTTTGGAAGCCATCTCTCACAGAAGGCTGATGTTGACAAAGAAATCCAGCATCACCTCAAATGCGCAAGTGCAGCCTTCAGACGCCTGACAAAATGGGTGTTCGAAGATTGTGACATCAGATTTAAAACTAAGTCCACGGTTTATCAAGCAGCTGTGATCCTTACCTTACTGCTGTGTAGCTGAGATATGGACAATGTACAGAAGACATCTTAAGTCACTGGAGAAGTACCATCAATGCTGCCTGCAGAAGATCCTTTGAATCAAGTGGGAATACATATGCACCAATGTTAATGTCCTCTCACAAGCAAACACCATGTGCATCAAGGTGACAATCATCCAACATCTTCGCTGGGCCAGCCATGTCATGCACGTGTCCAACTCCAGCCCCCCCGATGCAAGTTTTATTCTCCCAGCTCGGTACACTCAAGAGGAAGGCAGAGAAAGCACTTCAGAGATGTCCTCAAGGCCAACTTGAAAAAATGCAACATCAATATCAACTGATGGGAGACTATTGCCCAGGCCTGCCCCAAATGGAGGAAGAGTCTGTTCCAAGGATCTCAGGACTCTGACACCTCATGACAACACAAGATAGAAAAGCATGAGCAGCAAAATCAGCGTGTCATGGACCAAACCACGAATCCAGAGCCACCTGTCTGCACGGAAACACATACCCAAGTTGCAACAGTACTTACTGATCTCGAACCAACCTCATCGGCCATTTTCAGACCCACAGATAAGGCAATCATGAAAGACAATCGTCCTCGACTGCATGGGATTGTCAGTCATGATTACCTGCACAACATGAAGAGCATCAATTTTGGTCTACAACATTTCAGAGTTAAGGGTCCCCCCATCTCGCTTCAAATAGTTCTTGCTTGACCCTCTGCAAGCAGAAACAGTCAGCAGGTTTTACACTGTTGTCTAGGCACTTAGTCGAAGCAATTCTGGATTTAGATGAAGAATTCTCCCTTGTCATTAGGAAAGATGACAACTGCTCTTTCTTCTCGGCTCTTTCCAATGACCTGAGGATCAAGGAAGGCACAGAGATGGCAACTGCTCCAATTCAACAACAGTACACTGATTGTACACTTGACAAGATGTCTGGTCTCTGTGAATGCTGGTGCAATAAGGATGACCCTTATATGTGAGCCACATTCTTGTCCCATAGCCTCCAAGTTGCACATCATTCTGATTAGATTAGATGCCAACATGGCCATGTGTGGTTTACCCAACTTTGAGACTGAGGACATTCCTGTCTGGTTTCTGGGGACAATTCATTCACGCTTAGGATATTTCCTCCCTTGCAAAGGTCACCGCTACGGAGTAAATACACCATAACCACAGTTTCCCCACTTCCACAGCCAGGGCTTGGGAATGAGTTTCTCACAGCTGTTGATGCAGCATATGACTGTGGCACGGTTTACCTGTGCTGTGTGATGTTGTATGAACAGAAAGCCTTTAGGGCTATCTTATAGTCCTCCGTTCTAGAACACGGATATGGAGTTTGGTGGTGTTCCAGCAATCGTGTATCTAGAGACTGATCACACCAACCCAGGCTGAAGTCACTGGAAGTTTATGAAGACTGTAAAGGGGATGAAAGAGTAAATGATACCCCCTGGCGTATATGGTATCTCATTTCCGATCAGTAATGCTGTTGCAACACCTAGGGGTCCACAGGCATCTTTCCTTTTCAGATTGCATATTTTGGGTGTGTAATGAGATGCTATACAATGCTGAAGAGTTCATTCGCAGATGAGCAAAAGGGTGATGCAGACTGAAGACGTCAAGAGACCCAGACGCCTTATGAAGAATCACACTGTCCACAGAGGTGAAGCCCCAAGCATTGATGAGGAGTCTCTTATCTTTACGAATCTCCCCTCTGGAAACAAGTCTTGGCTTTTGTGAAGTCTAAGATGGCCCATAAAAGTGACCTTTGTAGAGAGGTCTTCTTCCAGTTGTTCAACAACTTGAGGGGTTGTAGGAAGTCACACGTGTAATGAACTGAAGAAAAGACATCCAGCTACGAGATGACTCTTAGTAGCTAATTATCTAATCCAGGCTAAACAAAATATGCCCTTGCAGCTGGAGATATGCTGCAACTATGCAGATACATTGCTGAAGATCCCTGGTGCAAAGGACAGTCAAAGGGAGAACATAAAACTGGAAGCAACTGATCTCCCCAGAGACCCAGAGCTGCTTGGCAAGAGCAGAAATGCCTATTAAGATAAGATGCTTGAGGTGAGTTTCTGGGCAAGTTTTATCCTACAACTCAGGCTTGGGGGTTTTTTAAAATCGAGAGGTGAGCCGTGGATGTTATATCATCTCATCAGGCAAGCTGGCTTTGAGGATCAGCTGTGTGGGCACTGGCAGAAGCAAACAAGTATTTACTAGCAAACAATGCAAGTTGGAAATACGATCACCCTACATGTGTCCACCTTCCTTTTCCTTTTGGGCAGCACGTTGTCCTCTCCCAGAGTTCTCATCTTGCCTCCACGTTTGTTGCTATGTCAGGTGCCCATTTGAAGTGACCTTTCTTTCAGATGACATGACCTAACATGAATGCCCCTTGGCTCTTAAATAGACCAGGAAGAGGCTGCTGTAAATCAGCACCACTCTATTCCTACCCATGGTGACCCAAGAATATGAAATTAAGCCCAGAAACTGGTTTTATATTTGTATTTTACAGTAAATACAGGTACCGTAGCAGGGCAGACTGCTCTAATGCAAGAGTTGGAAGCTGTTCTGGAGCGAACGAAGGCATGACATACCAGTGTCTCAGAGCTCATATAGCACAACCAAATTTGCATAATCTTTCCACTGTTTACACCTTATAATTCATAAATGTGGTAAAGCCCAGTTTCCTGTCACTCTGGGTCACAGAATTAAAGTGTGTTGATAGCTCATATTTACAAGAGGGCACAAATGTAAGCTCTTCACTTCAATTTCCAGATCAATCTTATATAAGCAACGTTTTATGCTTCATTATCCCAGCAGTAATATGTCTATGTTAGAAAGGATCATTAACTACTTTAGTGAATGTATTTTTTCTACCTACAGTAGCTTTCTTATCTATAGTGAATTAGAGTCACTACAAGGACTTTAATTAGCAACAGCCAGTGTTAAGGGAGGCAGCAATAGGAATGAATTGAGACATTGTTCAAAAAGATTTGAACAATGGAGTACGAGTCACTTAACTAGTTTCTTAATATGCGGTGATTTATAGAGGTCACCAACTACACATGTAGCTACTGCCACTACTTACCTGCTCCTGTAGATTACTGTGTAACTACACTTGGTAGATCCAAACGTAATTACCATGTAACCTGCACTGTGGTTCAGAACATACAAATAATCATGAATTTAACCCTGCAATGAGACACCACTTACCAGGTATTTAAATGCTCAGCAGTCATTGGGCCAGAGTCACCATGGATCAGACTTCAGTTTCTGCAACAAGTCCCCATGCCCACGGTCCCTGGATGAATGCACTAAGTGGTGCTCAATCTTTTCTCCCCAACAGGCTGGACTGGCAGCACCTGGTCCGTCCTCAGGCTGGATCCAGCCAGGATGGGCATGGCAGGCACCATCTGGCTATGCAGAGCGGGTGAGGGGGCAGGCCAGACCCAACACAGCCCCAAAGGGGAAACGAGCTTGATCCAGCCTGGTGAGTGCAGGGGAGGGAGGCCAGGCCACAACCCAGCTCCGGAGTGGGGGGAGGCACGTGGTACAGCCCCAACAGGAGGGAAGGGGCTCCAACTCAGCCCATGGGGAGGTGGCATGGTCCAGCCCCATAGGGGAAGGCGGCGTAGCTTGGCCCCAACCAGGGATTGGGGTTTGGGGATTTGTCACGGGTGAGAATGGCCAAGTTAATGACTGCTCCGCCGCTGCCAAATTTCTGGACCCGTGGGGAGCCCCACGGGCCAGATGCGAAGGCTCTGCAGGTTGCATTTGGCTTGTGGGCTGGAGGCTGAGCACCCCTGCCCTATCTCGGTGACCCCAGCTAGCAGGGCTCCTGTGGATTTTGTCTGAAATTAAAATCCCTCTCTCCCACCCCCTGGTGAGGAGCATAAATAGAAGTTGCAGTGAAAACACCTCTTCCCCCAACATCTCCATGTGAATGATTTTTGTGACACAAGGTGCCCTGCTGCGGAATTTGCACCTCCCAGTCACAGATTTCATTAATCTGGCCCAACACAAATGTATGGTAATTACTTGATACTTCTGCCCTGACACTGAATGGGCTATTAAAATAACTGATGTGTTGTGGACCCGAGTAAGAAACGGATTCAATTCCAATCACCCCTGCTTTTTGGCACTGAAATGCTAGCTGCACTATAAAATGGCCTCATAGCTGGCTACTGCTTGAGCGACAGAGGTCTCTAATAGCAAAACCAATAACTAGAATCATGTAACTGGTAACAAAACTGCTTCCAGCGCTGTTACAGAAGCGCGGTTTGAGACTTTCTGTCATGGTCCAACAACAATTTTAGTTTAATTTATACTAAGAGCTGTTGCATCTCTTCAGGCAGACTTGCTCCTAATGACTTCTAATGACAAAACAGTTCCCTAATGTCAAGAAAGGAACCGTCTCAGAAAAAAACCATTTGGGAATCCAGTTGGCCTCAGAGGAATCAAACCTAAAATGTATTCCATGATGTCATTAATTGTAATCTCAGAGATTTATGGTAGAGTTGGACAAACAATGAACTACACCTCCCTCCTGATAAAAGCGAGTTCAGAAACGGTCGGTCAGACGAATTATAATTATTGGGACACACAACTCTGCATTGCTGCCCTTACAACTGGAACAGACGGGCAGCAAGAACTGACACCATTTCCCGGGCAGCAAGTGGCAAGGGAAGCTCACCTGAGACTGCGGGATCGGGGCCTCATGGCTGGGGAGTGACGCCCTTCCTCGTCAGTGATGCTCTCGGTGCTGAAATGCTTTGTCAGGAAATGAAGCTCATCGGCCGTTGGCTGAAAGGGCAGCTGGTGCAGCTTCTCCTGGGATGAGCATGATGACTGAGTACAGAAAAAAATACAGAAAAGAAATATGCTAAACGCATGCACAGGGGACAGCTAATGAGTGGAGTAGGGATGGATCCCGCCAGACTGCACTCTTTGACAGAAAAGAAAGTTGCTCACCAGCACAGGGGCCTCTCTTATTTTCCTAATTAGGCTAGTTCAGCATGCATGCATAATTCTGAGGCCACCGAGATCAGGACAAGTTCTGGAGGCTGGTTAAGGGATAATAAACTCCCGCAGCTCCAGAACTATTCAATTTGATCAGGAAGATAATTCATTTGGAAGAGAAAGGGAAGGTGTAGAACTAAGGAGTCTCTTTGGGAAGGGCAAAGAGGTTGCTGGAGTAGTGAGCAACTTTTCTTTTCTTCCCCCATCATGCTCCCTCAGCTCAGAGACTTCACTGGCATGCAGAATGCTATGGAGGTGTGCGGTATGTGAAAAGTAGCATCCTTTACTGGCTCTCTTTGGTACTTGCTATTGTAAATGATCTGTATTTCATTCCTCCCTAGTTTACCCATCAGCTTTCTTCTCTAGTTGAGCAGGCAGGAATAAAGTGAGGAAGCTGACTTTGCAGGACTGTATGATGAACAGAGTTTCCCTTGTTTTTCTGTTACAAAGAGGTGAAGAGTTTATTCATCTTTAAATGATCTGCTCTGCTTAGAACGTGTACTGGTGTAATGACAGATGTTAAACAGTTTTAACTGCTGAACCAAGTGAAAACTGGAATTAAATGAAAATTAATGTGAAAGCTGAACAGTACATTTGGCAAGAGGAAGGGGTGGCTTAAAGCGCAGCTAGGAAAACAGAACCAACGGGTGCAACTGCTATACTTTTCCATCTGGCAGGACTCACTGAACATACTAGTTCAAGAAAAAACCAAGACTTTCAGGAGGTGCTGAACAACCGGAGTGCTACACTCCACGTGGGTCTTGTGGCATTGATGGTTATTCTCTGACATCCCGGCGGTCTGTATTGCTCTTGTGGAGTTAATCACTGTGCGCCGCTGAACTGGATAACCCTTCTTTGGCTGTATCTCATTACTACCACTTGCATTCAGTGCAGCTGAATGCATTCAAGCGCTGAGCAGCAGCAACAGATGTATCAAGGCCAAGGACACATGCACAACCCGAATTTCAACTTACCTACACTTGTTTTTCTAGTTATTTGCTGCTGAAGATATTACTGAGCTTTCAGGGGAAAAAAAAGCTAGGAACTATAGCTTAGTAGTTGAGGCCAAGTGCTGACAAGACTGTCTAAGACTGGCCAGGACTTACTGGAAAACACCACATTTTTAGTGCTGATAATATATACAGTTTTTTATCTTTGGAGGTGGGGGGGTTTTGTTCAGACCAGGCATATACAAACTTTTCAGGAGTCCAAGAACTGCACTTAAAGCGGAAAAAGAGCCCCCAAAACAGACAAAATACAAACACCTGAGCAGATCATCAGAGATGCCCACCTCTAATAGAGAATTTGCTCTGTGAAGAATTTTAGCACGCTATTCAGTGTCCAAGCCTGACTGCCCATATTAAGGGGAGACCTGTATGGTGGAAATTATGAGCCTATCAAGGCCACAGGTCACACCGTCATAAAATATGATGGTAGCTGCAGCCCACTGGTCCAGATCCACTCCCTATGCTCCCTTCTGAGCCTCCCTTGCAGCAGCTCTTGGAGCAGGGAGTCTATGGAAGGAGGGCGAGGGAGTAGATGAAGCATGATGTGTTTGTTCTGGCACCACTACGAAAGCTCCTAAGAGACTCTGGTATTGCAAAAACGCCTCTGATGCAGGAAAAAAAAGTATACGAGAACCAACCGCATGGAGAAGAGCCAATATTTATCACGTTCTTTTCAGGTTTTGTCATTAGCACGGTCACAACCAGAGACGCAGCATACTGGTCGTTGAAATGTCAAGAATTGATGGTGTTTGTCTTCCAGCGACACAAGCACTGAAAAAACAGGGTCATTTAAAAATATTATTCCACTTATGGTGTGCCAACAAACCCTGCCTTCCACTTTGTCTCATCAAGCGCAATCAGATGTCATGCAGGGCTGGAACTGGGGAATATGAAGGAGAACCTGTGGTTAAAAAGCATTAGGAGATGGACCTTCCTTAGCCAAAGGCTTCTTGAGCTCTCAAACATCTTCAAGGAATACATGCTGGTAATGAGGGATCACACGAGCAAAGTGAAACCTAGCTGCATTATTGATTTTTAAGTAATGAAGTCACTGAATTTGATACCTACAGCAGAGCCATGCAAACTTCCCCATGGTTAAAACCAGAAAATTAGCCAGCTTGTTTTAAGTAAATGCTTCCAGCTAATATTGCTGACGTTTATACATGAACTCTGAGTCTAATAAATAAAGAACAAATTAGCTACTTAAGGAAATAATTGTGTATTAGCCTATTCAAATGATTGCTCTAAGTCTACACTCCTGAAGGGAAGCCTGCACCGAGTGTCTGACATGAGAAGAAACGTGTGGCTTCTCTACAATATCTGAAATTTAAAAGGGCAGCGGGCGTTTGGACGGAAAGTGAGCTTTGGGGCACCTGCAACACGGAGGATGAAGAAAGCCAGGAGAGGTTAGATATGCACCTTGCAGCAAGCTTCGCACAGCTAGGTGTCTTGTACTTTGACTCAACGGGTATCAGTGCTGTCTACAGCCCACGGAGACTGGAGGCTGATTCTTATTAGAGAAACGGCAATGTGGTTATTCAGGCTATCAAAAACAGGCGCTCTGAATAGGTTCCAGGATGCCACTTGCTTTTGGCAGACCACCAAAGGAAGAAGTTATCAAAAGAAAAGGTTGTTTTAAGAGGCAATGCAACGTAGTGGAATGACCACACGACTGGGAGCCCCAGCTCCCCGATTCCAGTCGCCGAAGTACCTCCAAACCTGCTGCGTTCTTCGGCAAGCCGCTCGAGCTCTCATTCCTTCCGTTTCCGCATCTATGTGGAGCAAGACAGCTGACCTACTACTTCTCAGGGGTGTCAGGTGGATAAGCTACTTAAAATATATGAAGTACTTTGAAGACATAACTTGTTGCAAATAAGCACTACGTGCAATTGGTTTAGAAATGCAACAGTGACTTAACCAATCCTAAGGATTTTTCTCACCTTAATTTTTAAGCAATGTGCTTAATGTATTAACGCCTTTCTGTGACTGTAAAACTGGGATACTAATGGACTAATAGGGATGGTCCAGCCTTGAGCAGGAGGTTGGACTAGGTGACCGCCTGAGGTCCCTTCCAGCCCTATTTTACTACGAATGTCAGGGTCGCAGGAAAGTTTCACATTCTTGGAGGCTCAGACACCCTGGTTTTCAACAAAACCATGTGCTGCAGACAGAGCTGGGACTGCTGCATTTTTAAGAGCACCTGATGCTTTTTATTTTGCTTACAAGTTTACAAAGTTTCCACCACTTGGGCTAACGCTTTCCACGATGGGTATGCGCCTCAGCCTGGATCGGTGCAGGGGAAGGGGGGGAACTTCAGCTACCGTCCAGTTGTTTCAGGGAACAAGGCAGAGACGATATAAATTGTTCTTGTTCATGTTAAAAATTCTTGCAACCTTCCCTTCGAACAGCTCTAGCACCCCCGTGCTTTGGAGAGGGGACCGGAAATAACAGGTGGAAGCCCATGCGTTAAGGTGTGTCTTTTGCCGTCTACATACTTGAAAACCTGCCTTGCGTTTGCCCGGTCTTTGAAAAACTGTAATTCATGTATGCTGAAACAGGGACTACAAATTTAGCAAAGAGTTTGTTCTCACTGAGCATCTCACACCCCAAGGGCTGACAAACGGTATCCACCACCCTGTGGAGGAACTGAGCACGCTCCAGCCACAGCTACAGGACCGACGTCAGGCTGGCCCTTCTACGGCTGCTCTCACTGGCTTTGGAGCAGGATGGGGCCAGGCACCGCAGCGACGAGCAAGAAGTACGTCCCTCCTGCGCTCTTCATTACTCCTGCTGGCCTGCAGCACAGGGAGGACCTTTCCGATTTGAACTGTCAGCAGACAAAAGCAGGCTGAATAGGGAGGGCTGGAAGGGACAAGGAGTCTGGTGGGACTGGGACCGGAGAGGAAACAGGAATCGTGACAAGGAGCTGAAGAGGGAAAGCTGGGAAGGACTGGAAACGGCATCCCAGGGAGCTGGCTGGAGAAGATGGGACTGTCTGGGCAAGGAGACTGGAGTTAAGAGCCAAGATTAAGTGGGTGGGAGATTTGATACTGGACAAGAAACCAAGATGGGGAAGCTGGGATGTGGAGACAAGTCAGATGCAAAGCCAGGGAGGGACAACTGATTCTAGCAGCGGGAGCAGACAGCAAGGCTGGAAAAGGAGACTAAGTGAGGCCTGAGAAGTACCAAATTGGACTTGGCAGACAAGAGAACGGGCTAAGACAAGGAGCCAGCACGGCAAAGAGGGGTCCATTGAAAGGAAGAGGCAGATGAGCCTGTGTCCGCAGGAGCAAACTCCTCGCTAGAATCTGTAATGAAACCAGGACGCTCGGCTCCTGTTACCGTTGCCTGCTCCGATCTAAGTGCTCGTCTCAGGCCCCTCCACCGGTCTGCAGAGAGGCATCAACCTGCGATGGCTATCGGCTACTCTGCTTGCTCCAGGGACAGCGGTGTGCATGATGAATCAGGCTCCTGCCTCCTCCACGGTATACAACGGACCTGCTCTGGGAAGGGAGCAGGACTGTGAGGTCGGAAAGGCCCTTCTTTTTAGGGCACTCACCTCACCTGCAGCAGAAGTTGGGAGGTGTGCAGTGAATGAGGCGGGTGATTGCAGGAAGAGAGACGATGGCCCGCTCGTTATGGCAGGGGAGAGCTAACCTGGAGCACCGATTCTAGCCCTGCTTCTGCCACGCAGCTCCTCTGCGACGGTATACTAAGTTGCTTATATCAGACTTTTCAAAGGTAATAGCTAAGTGTACGCTCTCCATTTCCTGAGCATCTCACTAAAGATGCTGAGGGTCTGATTTGCAGAAGTGCTGAGCCCTCGCAGCTGCATGCTGAAGTCGAGGGAGCTGTGCTTTGGAAATACAAAGCACTACCTAACGCTAAGCACTCTGAAAAATCAGATTCATATAACCTCACACCTAATTTTAGGTGTCTAAAATTAGCAGATACCTTTGACCTTCTTTTCTGTGTGCCTGTGCTCTATAGCCAAACCCACGAGGGATTTAATCCCATATTCAGAGCAGGGTGTGAATAGCATGAAGTATTAAGGCCTGGAGCCACACAATAAGTAAAAAAGAAAATATTGCAGCTAAGCGAGCACCCTCCAGTCTGCAGACTGAATGGGACAGGGACCCTGCAGCAAATATAATATGCCGTTATGTAAATGAAAACTGAGCCATCAAAATACATGAGTACAAGAGGCCAAATTAAGATTGGACAGGCCACTAGCTTTTGTGTGCCTGTCTCAACAACCTTAAAAACATTCTTTAATGTAGTTATATGGGTGAGTTCAGTTACAGTGAAATCTGGTCCATCAGTCACTGCGATAACATCACTACAGTCTCCGTAGTCAGTGCACTGAATCCCAGCCAGAGTCCTAGTCATCTGGACACAAAACACTTTGGTTAATTCCTCATTCTTTAAAGCATTATTAGGGATTTCCAACACAACATAATTAGCAATTTCCAACACTGAATCAAAATGAAATATGCTCCTGATAATTAGTCATCTTAAAAAGTATCCTCTCAAGCCAGCTGTTGTGTGCAAAGCACTGGGTACGCTTCAGCTTTTTGGGGTCAACAAGACACGGAGTCAAGGCAAGAATGCAAGACTGCAAAGCAAAAATCTTTTGACTGTTTTGCTCCACCGGTAATCATTCCTAGCGAGAACGCTGCATTTCTGTAGTAAAAAACTCCACAGTAAGCCTTTATCTGTACAGTCAAAGAATTAGTGAGCCAGGGTTTATAAAGTATGCACTTATTTTTTCTTAATTAAAAGTGTAAACAATTATTCTTTACTATGTCTCAATATGACTTGCAAAGCGTATTTCATGAAATTGTGAAAAAGTTTAACTACTGGTAACTAGTCATTCATCACAACTCATCCTCGTTACCAATCCCCTTGAGGTGATGAATTAACCAGAGTTTACAGTATCATTTAGGGTTCATCCATATTGAGGAGTCTGATTTGCTGTATGACGTTGCAGGGTGTTACGCTGCTCTCTTTCCCGTTCTGTTAACCGCGTGTCCGTCTTTTGGTAATGACCTACGCTCAGGTCGCGGTAGGTTCGTTCACTCGTGTAAAGTGTAAACACGTAACGTCAAGGAAAACATCGAACTGCTGTATGTTATCAATTTGCCTCCTAGGCAGCATGCTGGCAGAGAGCTCTTGTGCCCATTGGTGACTCGAGGTCAAAAGCGGGGGAAGAATTTCACATCCTGGTTTTAAACCAGCTGAGAGCTTTCTGCTGGGAAGCGCTCGGTCTCGCCAGAGCAAGTGTCATTGCCGACGCAACGCACTTCTCCACCAAGCCGAGGGCTTCGCTACACCTGGCACCGGTGTGGAAGGCAAAGTGCAGGATGAGAGGGACTGGGAGATGGAGGGAAAAGCAGCACAACTGATCGTTAGAATAAATTAGTGCATTAAATACATGGTTGGCAAATAATGAAAAAGACCTCGCATATTTTAGTAAGGGTTTCAAAGCAGATTTGTTAGAACGTGTTTAGACAAATCAAATAGCGTCAAAAAGGAGGTCACTCACGGAGACGGTTGAGCTGGGGGTGTTTGTCCCGTACCCGGATGAAGGCAGGGAGGCCAGGGACCAGCGACGCCCGTCCGTTCTGGGGAAAGATGCAGGGGAAATTATTTTGATGACCGGTGTAGTTCGCGTTTCCCTCTCCGAACAGGTCTGCACCCTTAGTTTTAGATCGCGTTTTCCAGAGAATCCAGAGGTCCTGCCAGCAATGTTTTCTGTTCCAACGTACGTTGGGTAAAATCTTCAAATGCACCTAAATAACTTGGGAACATCGGTGCCAATGAAAGTCAACAAAATCTAACCTCCTAAATTACTTCAATTCCTACATAGTTCAGATACTTTTTATAACTTTACCCTTTGTGTTTAAAAGGGAAATAATTGGACAAATGACTGATTTTACTTTCAAAATTTGCTCAATAGAGACAACCAGCAACTGTGGGCTTTGAGTGACACCCTGAATTACTGCTGCCGTACCTCCCTGGTCCTCCAAGCTACACCAGGAACACAGTGGGGGCACGAATTCATGCCATTATGAAGTATCTGGATTACTGGGCAAAAGGAGAGTTCAGGCGTATGCCTAAATATCCGAATGGGCTCTGTTCATCTCATCAACTGGCACAGCCACTAAATTAAAACTCGTGAAACGGGTCACAGCTGAAATAAATCCCCAGCTGCAACATGTCTCTATACTGGAGCACCCATGACTCTGGATTCCCCCGGGGCTCACACTTCCCTCTCCGGGTTACAGTATTAGTAGTTGTTTGCTCTCGTGCAGCACATCGAGCAGTCCCCAGCGCAGGCCAGGACCCGAAGGAGCGTGGCATACAAAGATGCAAACGAACAGGATGAGCTGAAGCAGGCTAACAACAGGGACCAGTTCATTTTAATGCCAAACATGGTTACCCTGAAACATGGAAAAGTTAATCACCCCCCACAACCTCACAAAAATCAGACTCAAGAAGGAGAAAATGGAATTCATTTAAGCTACGTCTAATAAATCTCTCTCTCTCCGACTTCAAAAACCGAGGCCTTCTCTCCCATTGCTGGACAAATGTTGACACTAACCTGAGAGGGATGCTAAATTTTGAGGGGTTTTGTATCCCACTTCAACAGAACTATAAATATATTAATACTCCTAAGTACACCAATATTATTCATTACAAAAGACAGGAAAATCATCAATAATTTATCACATTTTAAATGAAAATGAATTAAAGACCAAAGAGCTTCTGACAGGACTGTTGATATAAACTTTGGGGTTGGTATACAGTCACACAGCACATTAGGATATGACCTTTCTCCTGTGGATATTACTGAAGGATAAAATTTGAGCTGAGAAGGGAAACTCAGTTGTAAACTTAACAACGCCTTTCTCTACCTACCTGTGGGCTGGGACTCAGGAAAGCACCTAAAGCAAGTGCTAGAAATTAAGGACAGGCTTAAGTATTTTTGAGGGGCCTAGGCTTTTATATCAACCCATACCTCTCCTCTCTATAAGTCTATTTTACTACTAGCACATGGAGAAAATACACCCGTTTTCAAACAACAAAAAGGGTTCATGCTGCATGCACAAAATCACAAAATTCAAGCTTTAGAAACAAGTCCTGCTGCATGCATATAGTAGTTGAACCCCATTTAGATACAAGTGGGTTTTGTATTTGTGTGTGTGTTTTTGACAGATAAATATATTTAAGAGATTCGTCCCTGTTTGTTGCAATGTTCTCTCCGTGCTGTGTGTTCAGGTCCCATCTCAAACACACACTTCCTCTCTGAACCTTTGACAAGTCCCATAACCTTCTGTGCCCCGGTTTCTCCATATGTAAAATGGGCGTATCCTCTCTCATAAGGACGTTGGGAAGATAAATTCTATTAATACTTGAGAAGCACAGCTACTGTAGCAATGAAGTAGGTATACAAATTAAAAAGAGTCTAGAAAGTATACAAGTTTTTATGAAATTATGCAAAGTTGCAGACTATTTAGTCTACTTTCTTCTGAAGGACTTTCATATTTTGGTTGCAAAAATGGACAAAAATCATCCCCCCCACTTGAAAAAGAACAACCCACTCTGCCAAGATGGTAGCCCCTACTTCTTGCTACAACTGATGCAACATTAGGAGAAGCATCCTAAACAATCAACACAATGCACAGAAAGTGCGTGTTCAACCACTGGAAAACAGCAGCAAGAGACCGGCAGAAATTCTGCTTCAAATTCAATGGAAGAAAAAGACTTGGAAAGAAAATTCTCTCTTTAAATGGCAGAATAGGTCTCAATTATTTCAGTGAGAAAGATGTATTTTAAAACTGATTTAGGAGAGGACATCAGAAAAAAGAAAACTTTGAATGATATATTCTTCTTTGCAAGCTTCCGGGCACAAACACCCTTCGTCAGGCTGAGGAAGCATCTGCAGCTGCGACATTTTCCCGGATGGTCTTCCAGGAAAAGCACAGGCCAACTGCAGAGCTTCCTCAGCCCGACGAAGGGTGTCTGTACCAGAAAGCTTGCAAAGACGACCAACACGGCTACAAACCGACACCCCTTAAATTATTTATCTCGTTTTGAAATTTTGATCCAAATGAAATTGAGTTGGAACGAACACTGGTCAGAAAGAACTATTAAAACAGCGTTGTAGGTAAAACAGGCTTGTGGCAGTTGTGGTAACATCATGCAACGTGGACTAGATTAGGTCAGTGTGATAAACTGTGCTAAGAACAAAGCAATTCTCCTAGTGTGATTCTTGTTAATTATAAGTTGCAGTTCAGAGAGTCCTCATTTTTACTCCCAAAATGTAAAAGCTGAATGCCTAAATGGGGTTATTACAGCACCAGCTCATTAGGCACATACACAGTGCCCAACCATGCAAAAAAGCATTACACTCACATACAACACCAATATGCTTCTGATATGCCCATTACCTGTCTGCTCTGTGTCCATGGCTGTATGGAAGAAATTGCACAGTGATAATGAGGAAGGGAAAAATAATTGAGAACATGATTTCTGGAAACCAGTAACAAAAGATGAACATTTCTCACTGTAGTCACCTTTACTGAAGGCAATATAATATTGTGTGCATGGAAGGGGACATCTTAGTTATAACAGGAGACTGCTGGGCATACCGATCCTGAGAGGCAGATGCATATGCATTTAATATCCATCCACGAACAAATTTTTGATTAACCACCTTTCAAAAGAGAGGCAAGGACCCTGTGAAGGCCAGCGGTGAAACTGCTGGCCTTCACATTAGGAAGCTAGGTCTAAGCAGAATCGCTGTATTTCCTACAGTTGAAATTTTGTGTTTTGGGAAAGGAAGCCATAAATACTGCATGAAATAGGTCGTCTCTGGAGAGAGGAGGCCAATGCAGAGGGCAGAAAATTCCTCTTTACTAGATAGCAAGGCCTGCGGGCATGGGAGGAGTCAAGACACGAATGATATCTAGGGCCTGATGCGGACAAAAAGAGAAGGAAAATTCCAGTCCGAGGGAATAAATGAAGCTCAGCATTTCCAGTGACCCCTGGCACAAGCTCTGTGCCACACCACATGAAGATCCCTTAAATAAGGATACGCTGACTATTCGAAATAATCACGTTTCTCTCTTTCTCCTCCTCTCTTCTCCCCGTCCCTGCTTCCCCTCCCTCTTTTTTAAAACAGGGAACTTTTTTTTAAACTGTGCATCAACACCCGAGTCAGAGCAAGTTCAGCAAATCTACAGGAGGAGGAAGCTCTGAGCTAGAGACATCTATGTCCAACACCCCTAACAATACCACTTTCTGCTCCAATAGAAATATGCCTACAAAATACATTTTTCAAACCCTGGGCAGGGCAGGGGTGAGGGGAGAGCCGGCATCTCATCTGGATTTACACCCTCCTTAGCGGTCTGGTCTAGTGGGTAGGATAACAGCCTGGAAATCAAGAGATCTTACTCTACCCTGGCTCAGAGACTGACTTGCTGTGTGGCTTTAAGCAGGCTATTTAGACTAATTCACCCTGCACCCTCTCTGGGGATGAAGTTTGGATTTCATGTCTATACAGCATCTGGCAGCAACGGTGACTCTCAGCCCTGCGCCCGCCACAGTAAGAATAGTACTTGACCTAAGCCATTACTGGGGGAGCCAAGCTGTTTCCCATTGCCTACTGCAAATGAAATGTAAAAAAAAGAGAGTACAAACAGTGTGGCCGTTAACTAACAATATCTGTAACCTGAAATCTCTCTGAAGAACTTCCTGTTACAAGAACAAATGAAAACACAGTCTCAGATGCACAAAGATGAAGCCAACACTATTTAACATTTGCTGAACTCTTCGACAATAGTGACCATTTTTATGCTCCCAAAGAGAAAAATCAACGACTGGAGTTTATTTATGGCATTTTCCCCAAACGTTCCTCTCTTGCAACAAAATATTATTTCCACCATTCTTATCTAGCTCTCTCCCCTCTTCCTGCACCAAGCATTAACGATGTTAACAACCGCAGTAAATCCTAACCACCAAATCAAATGCACTTCCACAAAATGATTGCTCTAAAAACGTACCCTGGATAAGACAGCAGCATTACGCCTACGAAAGCCTCGGACAAGGGCAGCAGCCTGGGAGCTTTGCAGGTTAAACCTAGCACATGCTCTGCGTGCCACTGCCAAAATGTTCGGCCTTCAGCGAGAACGCATTGCAGTATATACTTTCACAAGACGGTAAAAGCTATCTTCACTGGGGCAAAGCTTCCCCTCGTCCGTTATGTTACTAAAGACAGTCTCACATGCTGCAATGCAAAGGTGTAAAATGCACCACTCGGGCTTTTAATTATTAAAGGTTTGTGTGCCGTTTGCAAAAAGGACGTTAAAAGCGATGTTGCTGTGATTACTGGAACAGCTACGGACTGAAGAAAGCTAAAACTCCTGTTTTATTTACAGCTTTTCGTCACACAATCCTAGAGCCAAATGTTAAGTTGCTGTAAAAATGGCGTAATCCCTTTGGCTTCAGTGGAGCTGCGATGATTTGGATCAGGCGAGACTGTGAACGCCCGTTTTTCGAATAGGGACATGCAGTCTCCTTCTGTCATTTTTAAATTGGCCAATACCAAGCAACAGCTGCTCCTTCCCCTCCTAAGACAACAGGTGCGGAGCCAGATGGGCACAGCTGTCGTATCAGCGCAGGCTCTGCCTTATTCGGCGCTAACACAAGAGCACAGAGCCTGCTTCCAGCAAGAGGCCGGGGGCACAAGGAGAGGGGGCAACTCAGCTGAATGACTGAAAAGACTCTCTCTCGCTTACCTTCACTCAAGCCCCAAGGGGCAGCTTTGCCAGATACGCGGGCTCCCTTGTGCAGGTACCCGGGCTGTTTCCAAAGCCTGCCACTTCCTCCCATTTCAAGCATTTTTAAGATCCATCCTTTTCTATCTGTCCCTAAACCGGAGATTCCTGTTCAGGCCTCTTCCGCCCCCATCTTGATTGAGGCAACCTCCTCTTCTCGGGCCAAATTCATGCTCATTTAGCTACTTTCCATCCCGGCCAAATGCAGCCGTAGGAGTCTCTGCCCTATGCACCAATCTGCCCATTTTACTGCCCAACTCCGAATCCACTCTTACACCAGCTCAGGTTCAAGTTTGTTATCCTTGATTTCAAAGTCTAATATGCATCTGGCTACCTATCCAACCATATCTCTTTATGTCATGACCTTCTCCCTCAAATCCTGCACCCTCCCCTTCCTGCTATGGCTGACAAATTCAATGCACCATTTGTCTGCTTCTCCAACGGTCTTTATACTTTCTATTTTATTCTAATGCTACACAACCCCACGGTATCTGAGCTCCTTGCAAAAGGACGTTATACAGTGAGATTAGGAACAGCTTCACCCTTTCCCTTTCAAGCCTTCTGCCTTTGTCTGTTCAGGCCATGTGTTTTCATAAAAGGATTCTGCATCTGAAAGGCACATCGGTACACTCTGGGGGCTACTGCAACGCAAACAAAAAGCTAATAAAAAACAATAACGACTTTCAGAAGACGAATGCACGCAGTACCTCTGGCAGCTGTGACATGCCACTCACAAGACAGAAAGCGTACTAACTTACCTGCGAGCCGGCACAAAGGAAAAATGAGCAGGTGCATTTGGAGAGAAATTCCTGGGACTGTCCAACGGGCTGCTACCTGTTGGAGAAAGCAAAGAACATTCATACTGGTGTTACTTTTGCAACAAATTCTCTTCCTGTTAAAAAAAAATCTGATGAATGATGACACACTGTGGAGATAGGGTCAATTAAGATCTGTATTTGCAAATAACTAACAATTTAGATCTTTGAAACTTGCACTTGCTTGGGAACTGGCTGGTTAAATATTCTTTTTGAGTACTGCAAGAGAGATTTTCTTTCTACTATTAGTTGCTTCCTACTTTTTTAATATATATATGATGTGGGTTTTCCAGCTTAAACTTCAAAGGAAAATAAGAAATGTCCAGTGCAACAACTAAATACAGCGTATCGCTTCGTTGATTTTTTTCAACGTCTTGTATATATGCATTTAACCAACCCCTGGCAGTGAGAGTTTGCAGGAATGAAGCTAGTGCTGAACTGCTGGGAAGAACAGGGATGGAGCCCTGCCCAGCCTCAAACCCTGCGCATGCATTTACACAGCTGAAGTCACCATACAGCTGCACTTCCGCTACACGGGGCAGTTGAGAAAGTCATACTCCCTCCCTTCTCTCGGCAGCTCTTCGTATGGGCTGTGAACAGACGGCGCAGGTGGAAGTAGGAGTTGGAAGGGGGAGAGCCAAAGTGCAGTATAGGCCAGTAAATCCCAGCTGGCCGATGGCTCCCCAGGGATGCACACCAGCTGGTGCAAATTAAAGCAGCCCCCAGGCTTCTCCACCTCGCACTCGGGGTGACTTGAGAATGAGAGGTATAAGGGGCACCCAGGCAGCTCCATCACGTGCTGCACCAGGAGCAAACTGGACAAAACGAGCATCTGGGCCACTGTCTTCTGAGAAGCAGCAGTGTCCAGTCCCTGTGATGAGCTGACACTGAGCACAAGACACTGGCTGAATACAGAAAGCATGGGCCCCGAAGAGAACGCAACCTAAGCTTCATATAGGATCTACTGCAAATCTTGGTGGATACGAATAATTAGGACACTTTTGCAGCTGTATTTGTTTTCTTTCAATTCAATAAATCGACTGTTGACTCAGTTCTCGTGGCCTTTAGATTGAGTTTGAAAGTGAAGAAGAGAGGGCGGTTTGACAGCCTAGAACAGCGACCATGATCCAGCCTTCAAGGAAAGCCCAGAGAAAGGTACAGAGCTGTGGGATAGCGGGATCGCTGGGCACAGCTGGCACGAACTTACCTGCACAGGTAAGTTCGGCGACATCTCATTTCAAACTAACCTGCACGTATCAAGGTGACGCTTCCTTTCAGCGTCACCAATCACGAGTAACACTACAAAGCTTTCAGATTATAGTCCAAATGATCATCTGGAATAACTGAAGAAATCGAGTAATGACTTTTTAAACTCCACTACGTGGGTGTTCTCACTCTTTTTCGGTACGCACAATCTGGTACAGAAATACGACTGATTCTTCAGTAACATCTTTTTCAGATTTATATGGCATATTTCTACCCAGACTCTGGAATTTTAATTAGCTCCCTTGTGAGTTATTTCTATCTCTAAAATGAAAAGCAATTAGTTCTCCTGCTCTGCTCAAGCCTGGGTGAAGCTTCTAAAACAACAACAGGGAGAAGGGGAATTTCTGCTTCCCTTTAAAAACGTCCCAGCACTCCCGGCCCTTCTGTAGTTGAAGGAATTTAAATCAGAGAAGCCTAAGTGTGATGCTCTCACCCAGCAAAGATGATCGAAGGCTTTCGTACTCTGTCTGCAAAGGTAAACTCTCCTGCTTCCCAAGGGTTAGAGTGCTATTGAATCGGAGACTTTTCACTTTCCGCCTCAAATGGGGCCCTTCCAGAGCCGTTGCTCGGTAGATAACCAACACTTGGTTACAAGGATGTTGGCAGCTTTATTCTGACACTGCCAACATCCTTGTAACCGTGTATTGGTTATCTACTGAGGCCCAGGGCTGAGGCTCAGGCACCATTACAATCTGCAGAAACGTCCCCTTCGGGCCACAGGCAGCCGATATCTCAATAACGACTAGCACAGTTTTGCCCAAACGCAGCATTCACCAAGGGGGCTGAAAGGTCCAAAAACTTATACTGGAATTTGTGGCATAACTTGTTACAGCGGGTTGTAAAAGCCGATGTATTTCCATTCCTGTTTGCAGAGCTGGAAAGCATTACCTGTAATGACCGGCACCCTGCCACCTGAGGAGCACTAATTACAGAGAGGGTCCACGAATCACATCTGATTTAATAAGAAGCAACGCTACAAGACTTCAGGGAAAAATCCCAAACTAATTTAATGTCCTTTCTGCACGTTATTCAGCAGCACTCATGCTCCTTATGCCTGCTACTCTTACAGCTTTTTACCTGCATGTTTTTAGCTTTTCTACACTTTTGGCCCAGCTCTTGCCAGGAATTTTAAACCTGGAGGCTGCAAAATTTTCGGAAACAGGTCCCTTTTTAAATGTTGCTTTTTATTCCTTAATGTGCCATTTCGAACAGCAGGTCTCAGCTGTCTCAGGCTCCAGGCACCCCTCTGTAAGACTTCAGCAGCACCCCGTTTCAGGAACGAAGGGTGAGAGTACACTGCGAATTGTTCCATAAAGAGCAACCCAGCCACAACTGCAGGCAATTAATGGTGTGAGAAAATAAGAAGCCAGCCACAAAAATATTCAAAAAATGTGTATAATGTTTTTGTGGCTGGTTTTCATTGCACCTTAAATTGAATGTGATGGGGTCCCACCACGCAGCCTCGTTGTGCTTGGTTGACAGCTCCCCCCACGCTGTGCTGGCAGACTGACAATCGCAGGGTACAGCTCTGCCTGGGGCTGCACCCTGCTGTTTTCAGGGTCGAGTCGAATTGAGGCGGTGTCGTCACCTGGGCCAGGGTGTCAGGCTGCAGGAAGTCACAGGGCTTGCCATGAGTAATAACACGATTGGGATCTGATCCCTCATCCCAAGATCACGCATTCTGCCATGCACGTGTCTGGACATGTAATAGTTGGGATGGGAGACCAGATCCCATTGTGCCATTAAATGAATGTGTGCCAGGGGCCTGATATGAATGTAGTGTGAATATTTCAAATATAGTAATTATGTTATTAACTCGTGTTATTATCATAGAAAATGAGGGCTGGAAGGGAGCTCAGGAGGTCACATCTAGTCCAACCCCCTGCTCCAAGCAGGACCAGCCCCAATTACATCATCCCAGACAAGGCTTATCTACCTGGGGCTTCAAAACCTCCAAGGATGGAGACTCCTCCACCTCTGTGTTAATTGTGTTACTATATTACATTATAATATAAGATGTAATGTTCACCCCTTTAGGCTGCCAGTGGGGACCGGGCTCCCCCAGCTCTCCCTGGCCCTGTGCACACTTGCTGCCAACATGGCTCCTGGACTCCCCGTTCATTCTGCCCTTAGTTTTCCCAGGCCAATCTCCCATGAACTCCAGCCCCAGGGCTGAAATGGGCAGAGCCTGGGGGCACCTGGCCAGCAGGGCTGAAGTACCAATCAACTACACATGTGCCAAAGGGGGCTGCTGAGGATGGGCAAGGGAGCAATAAAGCACACAAGGCCCAAGAACGCCCTTTCCCACCCCTGGACTACTCCTGAGGGGGCAATCACAGCCCCTCGTACTGCAGCTACTCCTTTAGGGACTCGCATGCTGGGGACTGAAACCACCTACCCCTGCAGCCCCTTCCACCAGCCCTGGGAGTACGCGACAAGCAAGGGTGCGAGCTAAGCTCAAAAGCAGGCTGCTGGGAGCGGCTGGCACAGATCCTGTCAAAGGGCAAGAGAGAACAGCATGGGTGTCCCTTGTGGGACTCCGCGGCAGGTGTGGAACAAGCGGCAGCACACTCACCACCTTGCACAACACTCTTACAAGGATCTTGCACACCCTGGTTGAAAATCACTGCTTTAGAGGGCATGGGGTTGCAGGGCATGAGCGTGCACGTGGACAGTTACAGCTGAGTACACACACCCTCCCTCTGCTCGGCTCCGCAGTCGCGTCTGTTGTGCCGGTCGGTGCCTTTAGAGATGAACGGGGGTTTTACTGAAGTAGTCAAGCCTAAGGTGAGCACTCTTGAACCAGCATAAATGTGCCTTACAAATTAGTGTGAAAGTGGCATCTTAATTTTATTCCCACGTAGGAGTAAGCCATATGAGTATTAGTAACTTTATATTGTGCTGGGGAGGGATGTGGGGTGTATATGTATGCTGGTGATAAGATAACCTTAACTATAAGAGTCAAGGTGTAAGACAACAACATGCACCCCGCTTGAATGAAAATGCTCTCAGTGTCTCAAATGGCCTTTTTTTGGATCAAATCTCAAGCCCTTGATCAGAGTGGATACAAATCAATGATTTTTTTATTTAATCATATTTTAAATTTTTTTTGTTAAAATGCTTTTTATAAAAATAAACCTTTATAAAGATAGTTTTAATTTAAGATATGCTAGAGCTCAAAGATCTCATCCTGGAATAGGGCTTATAACTTCTAATTACACACCGTTTGAGATAATACATTCATGTAACCTTTTTAGAAAAGTTTTATAAATCGGTCACAACAGGTCATGGACTATATTAGGGGCCCAGTCTTATGGGGCTCCCAGAGCCACCTCTATAAATTAGGAAAAATGAAAGAAAACCACTCTACCCAGTGGGACTCAGTGCTCAGTCTAGAAGATCCCATGAAGCATCTCTGTGATGCTGTTTCAGTTCTTAAATTGCGGATTTGCAGCTCCAGAGATAACATCCTTGTTAACAGCAGTATATGGAGACGAGAGATAGCAGACCTGGTTACCTACCCATTGGCTCTATTGTCTCTTTGCAAGCTTGCATACACACAGTCAAGCCCTTACCTTTACCTAAAAGGGCAAAGTTTCAAGAAGTTAAAGGAATAGAGGATTGTTGGGGGTGGAGTAGATCTGGGCAAGGAAGAGGAGTCTGGAGATAAATAAAAGGAAGGAGGGGCAGTAGAAACAAAGGAGAAACATTTGAGCAGAATATTCGGGAAGTCTTGAGGAATAAATTTCTGAG